TCCAAACTCTTGGAGAGCAGAGCTTGTATTGGGGATGGATAAGGGTGGGGAACTGGACACATATCTGGTTACCAGAGGAGCATGGGGGAAAAGAAGGAATTATGCCTTTCCCTCTGCCTGTGTGAGTCTGCTCTGCCAGGCCTCCTATTGTTGCCAAAACTGTTCACAAGATGGTCAAGTTGAGTCTAGTCAATGGTTCACCAGTCAGTCTCCTTGTCTCACCATCCCTGCTCAGCTTCTATTCCCAGAAAGTACTCTACCCACTTTTCTAACTGTTCTTCCGAAGTTTAGGGTTCCAGAATTTTCATCTGCATCTGTTTTATTTGTTATCTTGTATGTTTGTTGTGGAGTCCTGTTGTGGTACTGGAGGTTAATGTGCTAGACTGCAAAGTCAGTTTGAACCACAAGGTTGATGGTTCAAGCTCACCAGCCACTCCTTGGAAACCCTATACAGGGTCACTATGGGTCAGACCGACTTGATGGCACTTAACAACAACAACTTTGTTATGGAGGGTTCATGTAATGTGCCTGATGAGTCCACTATCTTGACAGAAGTCTCCATTAAAAAAGCATTTTGATTAAACACTTTCATAATTAAACACTGGACAACAGACCCACTTATTGTATTTTTATTTAAACCCAAGATGCTTTTCAAATCTTAGAAGAATACTACCTCTACAACTGATAGATGTGTTCAGTATCTGTTACATATAATACAGATACTTCTGTATTTGCCATGTGAGTTACTATTAAATGTCACATTAACAAAACTAAAATCCATGGGCTTTAAAAAAAGTTTTATCAGCATAGAATTTTTATATAGTAAAATACATGTAAGTGTACAGTCCAATGGATTTTAGTATTTTTATGTAATTGTGCAGCCATTATCACAAGGCAATTTTAGGATATTTTTTTACCCCTCATGTGAATCTGCAGAGAAGTCTTGCTTCAATCTCCATCCTCAGATAACCACCAGTGTTTCTTTTTCTATAAATTTGCCTTTTCTGAAAATGTCATATAAATAAAATTTATTCAAATTTTTGCTTATTTAAAAATTTGTTCTCTTGTCCTGCTATTGAGTTGTAGATGTTCTTTATATCATGCTTTATATTTTCTTTCATGTGGTATAGTGGTATAATGAATTGTTTAATACATCTTTTCTAGCTGTAGACTTGCTAGCGTCCACCAAATGACTATCTTCCTGATGAGTCTAGGTAAATGGAGGTGGGAGAAGATACCGATAGTTGACTGCTAACAGAGTTCACTGTGATTATAAAAACTTGGGACTCTACCATGGCTATAAAATGAGCCATCTCAGAAGCAGGAGTGGGGTGGAATTCCCCTACCATTAAAGAGGAGGAGCCAGGAGTGGAGCATGTACTTTGGACCCTGCGATCCCTGAGCACTGACCCTCCTTAACCCAGAGGCAGAAAGCTGTGACACTGGTGAAGTGGCAGAGGAGAGCAGCAGCAGCAAAATCAAGTGCTATAGCATCAGACAGGGAGGTGGGCTTCCCAGTCCACAAAGTAAGTAAAGTCGAGGGACTCTGGATAGGACTTTGGATATACTTTGCAAGTAAGCAAAGTGGGGTATATCTAGTCAAAATGGGAGGTCTAGGTTTGCTCACCACAGAGATAGAGCCAAGTGCCTTCAGGTTGAGGCTTAAGGCATTTATCAAAAGCCCTAAAAGAACTCTGAAACAATGTCAGAATAGGACAGAGAACAGGCCAAGGGGTTGAAGGCCAGAGAGAGGCATGCCTGTGGGCATGGCTGAGGCAAGGCCATCCTGACTGGAAGAACTGTGTCCTGAACATTTCTGATGCTGAATTGTAAATTGTTAACTTCCAATGAACTCCACAACTGCGAGTATTGTCTCTGAGTTTGGTGTGGCCATTGCCATGTATTACTGAATCCAAATGAAAAGCAGAAAGTGCTGTGGGAGGATTGGTTGGTGCCATTTTTTGCAGGTATGTTTTTGAGGTTCATGCATGTTTAAGCATATGTCATAGTAAGGTTTGTGTTAACTTGGCAGGGCCAAGATTCCCAGTGGTTTGACAGTTGAGATCTGATTATCTCCATGTGAGATCTAACACAGTGTAGTTAGCTGTATGATGATTGCCTATTTACAGAGTAGTTGTTCTATGATGAATGGTGTAGTTAACTCTATGATGATTGGCTATAAACAGCCCATCAACTGAAATGATATTTCCTTGAGGGTATGGCCTGCTTCTGATATAATGGGCACTCAGGCAAAGTTTGTTTGCTTTCCTGCTGGTCCTGAATCTTGCATCAGGCTCATATTCCAACCTCTGCTTCTTTGGAATCGAAGTAAAATTGCTGAGCAGAAAATTCCAAATGACAGCTTGAGAATATAAAATTAAGTATTATAATGAAATATGTACTAATCTAGAGTTACAATATCAAAAGGGAAGAACACGCTCAGCATTTCTCAAGCTGAAGAAAAAAATTCAAGCCTCAACTTACAAAAGGATTCTATGTTGTAGCACTGTAGGATCAGCACTGAACCGTGAACCACCCAGTCTATGTTTCAAACCTACCTGCTGCTCCTAAGAAATCCTGTATAGGGTCACTATGGGTCAGAACCGACTCGACGGGAATTAGTAACAACAACAACATGGACAAAATATTGAAGGATGTAGAAAGCATCAAAAGCAGATGGAAGAAATACATAGAGTCACTATACCCCACCCCCAAATGGTTGATGTTCAACCATTTCAACAGGTAGTATATGACCAAGAGCCAATGATACTGAAGAAAGGAATCCCAAGGTGCACTGAAGGAACTGTCAAAGAACAAGGCTCCAGGAATTGAAGGAATACAAATTGAAATTTTTCAACAAACTGATGCAGCACTGGAGGCACTCAACTCATCAATGCTGAGAAATTTAGACCACAGCTACCTGGCCAACTGATTTTAAGAGAAATATATGTGTGCCCATTGCAAATTAAGGTTACCCAATGGAATTTGGAAATCATAGAACAATATCATTAATATAGTCGTTCTTGTTGTTAAGTGCTGTTGAGTCAGTTCCAACTCATAGCGACCCTGTTTTTGAGGAGCAGCTGGTGAGTTTGAACTGCTGACCTTGTGTTTCAAACTGATCTTTTGCCCTGTGCTTATCCTACAGCGCCACATCAGGACTCAAGTAAAATTACATGCGAGAAAAATTATGCTAAAGATAATTCAATAAGGGCTGCAAAAGTACATTTACAGGGAACTGCCAGAGGGATATCACTGCTGAAGTTTGGATCTTAGCTGAAAGCAGAGGATACCAGAAAGATGTTTGTTTACGTGTGCTTTATTGACTTTGCAAAAGCTTTTGACTGCAGATCATGACAAGCTGTGGACAACATTGCAGAAAATGGGTATTCCAAAACACTTCATTGTGCACATAAGGAATTTCTACATAGACCAAGAGGCAGTCATTCAAACAGAACAAGGGGACACTGAATGGCTTAATATCTGGAAAGGTATGCACCAGGCTTGTATTTTTTCATCATGCTTATTCAATTTGTCTGCTGAGCAAATAATATTTAAAGCTAGACTATATGAAGAAGAATGTGACATCAAAATTGAGAGAAGACTCATTAAACCCTAACCTGTAGTATGCAGATAATACAACTTGTTTGCTTAAAGTAAAGAAGACTTAAAATATTTATTGATGAAGATTAAAGACCAGAGCCTTTGGTATGGGTTGCACCTAATGTAAACAAAACAATAATCTTCATGACTTGACCAATAAATAACACCAATGTAAGTGGAAAAAAGATTGAAACTATAAAAGACTTCATTTTGCTTCGATCCACTATCAATACTCATGGAAGCACCAATCAAGAAATCAAAGGATGGAATGCACTAGCCAAATTGGCTGCACAAGACCTCTTTAAAGTGCTAAAGAGCAAAGATGTCAGTGTGAGGACTAAAGTGTGCCTGATCCAAGCCACGGTATTTTCAATAGCTTCAGATGCATGTAAAAGTTTGACAATGAATAAGGAAGACTGTAGAAGAATTGATACATTTGAATTATAGTGTTGTAGAAGAATACTGAAAGTACCACAGACTGATAGAAGAACAAACAATCCGTATTGAAAGGCATGCAACTGGAATGCTCCTTAGAAGCCAAGATGGCAAGACTTCATCTCTCATAATTCAGACATATTATCTGGAGGGAACAGTCTCTGCTGAAGGACTTCATGTTTGTTACAGTGAAGGGTCAGTGAAAAAGAGGAAGACCTCCAATAAGATGGATTGGAACAGTGGCACACTAATGAGCTCAAGCTTAACAATGACTGAGGTTGGCACAGGATCGAGCAGTGTTTCATTTTGTTGTGCATAAGCTCGCGATGAGTTGGAACCAACTTGGGAGCGCCTAACAACAACAGTAATTAAGTCTCTGAACTTTAATTGTGCTCTTATTTATAAATGACTATGCTCACCTCAATTAATTATTTTCATATCTTGATTTATGATAGACAAAGCATTAGGATGTTGGGCTCTTAACCCCAAGAACAGTGTTTCAAATCCACCAGCTGTGTATGTGAAAGAAAGATGAAGCTGTCCACTCCAATAAAGATTCACAGTTTCAGAAACCCTATATAGAGTCATTATTATGAGTCAGAATGGACTCGATGGCAGTGTGTTTGAGTTTTTAAATACTGTTGTGTTTGCTAATATTGTTGAGGTGTTTCCAACTCATAGCTAACCTTTATAGGACTTTCTGAGGCTATGAATCTTTGTGGGAGCAGGAAGTGTTATCTATCCTTCATGGAGCAGTTTGTGGGCTACAACTGCCAATGTTGTGGTTCTCAGTCCAAGGCTTATCCTACATCACTCCCCTTTCAAGCACTAGATGCCACAATAATCATTTGATTGATAATAGCTAAGGTGATCCTAGCAAAATATTTAAAAATCATAAAGCTCTTTAATAATCATATTAAAAAGAAACAAATGGAAGGAAAATTTCACCAGTTTATACTTACAGAATTCTTTAAACAATCATCATCCACATCAAAATTTGATGTATCTGTTGGGCTGCTAACTTCTGGAATATAAGGTGCTTCACAGTTTTGAATATTATCCCAGTCAATGCCACTGAAAAATGGGTGTTTCTTAAAATCTTCTATTCCATTTTGACCAAGTCTATGTTCTCTGCTACAAATGAGCCTTCGGATAAGATCCTTAGCATTTTCTGAAACATCAGTTACTTGAGCTGGAAACTCAAATCTCTCCTAAACAAAGAATAATAAAAACACGCAGAAATCAATATTGAACTTCCTAAATAGTTTTACTGACTTATTTATGTTCTTAAAAATAATTTTTTAAAACAAATATCTAGGAAGTACACACTGGCACAAAACATTGTACTAAAGGAAATATAAGGATGAATGACAGTAGATAATTTTCTTTAAAAAAGACTTTAAATTTTATATGTCAAATTATATTCATATACATGCACAGTTCATTCATATCATATATTTTATAATAGAGAATAAATTAAATGCTAAAATACCTTCAATTGCTATCAGATTGAAGAATAGGTTAAAACTAGAGGGATCTGACTCACTACTCCAGTAATGTACATGGTAATGTAAGTCCTAACACTAATTAATGACTAACTGATATTTTTAATAGTCAATGGTTTTGAGAACTTAATAAGCATCTGAACTATTTTAAGTGCTTTACACATTTAACTCATTTAATCTTCACAACAATTCTCTAAGGTTAAGTGTCATCAAGTTGGCTCTTACTCATCATGACCCTGTGTAGGGTTTCTGAGGAGTGACTGATGGGTCTGAACTGCCAATCTTATGGTTCACAACAACCTTGCAGTCCAGTGATTATCCTACAGCACCACATCAGGAACTACTATTATTGTGATATAGAAAAGGAAACAAAAGCACAGAAGGTTCAAGTAATTTGCATAAGGATATCCACCTAGTAATCTGTAGAACTGGGCTTTGAACTGAGGCTGTCACGCTAGAATCTGTACTCTCAACTACCATTTATACTACAATGATTTCATTTTGAAATGTTGTACATGCTAATTACAACTTTACAACTGTTCCCTGTCTTTCAACACTTAATGATTATTGAGTGCATTATCTTTATAACCAAGTAGAATAACCTGTAAAAGATTCTATATAATTGATTTATATGCGAGGGGACTTGAAAAATTAATGGAAAAGCTCTATTATCTGTTCATTTCAATTTTCCATGAACTTTTTGAAGCCTCCTTATATCTTAGAAAGGAGCCGTGGTAGTGCTGTAGGATAAGCACTGAGCTGCTAACCACAAGGGCAACAATTCAAACCCACTAGTTGCTCCAAGGAGTCCTGGTATGGCACTATAGAATAACACACTGACCACAAGGTCGGTTTGAATTGCAAGGTCAGCAGTTCAAGCCCACCAGCCACTCCTCGGAAATGGTATGAGTTGGAACTGACTCGACAGCACTTAACAACAACAACAACAAGAAGCCACTCCAAGGGAGAAGGATAAAGCTTTCTGCTCTTGTAAAGATTTATCCTATATAGGGTCGATAAGAGTCAGAATGGACTCAATGGCATGGATGGTTGGGTTGTGTATATGAAGCAACTAGCCATAAATGTATCACCAAAAACAAATTAAAAAGATAATCATCCTACTTTTTGCAATTGGTCAAAATCATTTGAAACTGTTTAATAAAAACCTTTCTTTCTATTATGAACCACCTCTTTCTATTCAATTTTTATGAATTAAAATTTGATTTAATTGATCAGCTCTGGTAGTGTAGTGATTACGAGTTGGGCTGCTAACCGCAAGATCAGCAGTTCGAAACTACCAGCCTTTCCACGGGAGAAAGATTAGGCTTTCTGTTCCTGTAAAGATTTACAGTCTCGGAAACCTTGTACAGGGTCACTGCATCAGAACTAACTCCACGGCACATGACCATGGTGCATTTGGAGTCGTGGTGTGGCACAATGGGTTAATGCGTTGTACTGCAAGGTTGGTGGTTCAAGCTCACTAGCTGCTTCTCAGTAACAACAACAATATGTTGCATTTGGAGTCCTGGTGTGGCACTGTAAGATGAATGATGAACCACAAGGCCAGCAGTTCAAGGCCACCGGCCACTCCTTGGAAACTCTATACAGCGTTTCTATGACAACAATAAAAAATGGTACATTTGGATTCATTTTAAATGTTTTGCAATCATATGTAACATAAAAATAGGTATCACTGTACACACATCTACTAAATTGAATATTTCCTTAGGGCAAATTCTTAGAACTTAAGTGTCTCAATCAAAAGTTCTAATCATGTTTCTAAGACTTAACAACAAGAACAAGAGATACATACTTGAAAAATTCTTAACAGAAAGGTTACCAAATTAAACTCCCATCTCACTGTACTATTTTCAGCACTAATTTTCTTTACATTTTTGTCAATTTAAAAAGAAGAAAAAGACATCTCATTTTGAATTTGCACTTTATTATTACTAAGGTTGAGAATTTTTTCACCTACATTTTAGTCATGACTACACGATCACTATAATAATTAATGGAGTCCTGCTGTTGCACTGTAGGATAAGCAATGGACTTAGTACTAGTCACAAGTTGGTGGTTCAAACCCACCAGCAGCTCCTCGGAAACCCTATACAGGGTTGTTATGAGTCTGAGCTGACTCAATGACAATTAACAACAACAACATAGTAAGTAATGCTTCTGTTGTTGTTATGTGCCATCGAGTTGGTTCTGACCCATAGTGACCCTGTATAGGGTTTTCAAGGAGCGGTCAATGAGTTTGAAGCTGCTTATATTTGTCAATTATTACACTGGAGAGACAACTAAATTTGCTATTTATTGTTATCTCTGATTAAATATAAGGGAAAGTTAGAACAAACACTTTTATGCATAGTTTATGGACATGGGCATGTGAATGTCCACTATTCTTAGAAAAATATTTTCTCACTTTAGATTATCACACTGCTTTTAATTTGTGTTATTTATCACATTAATTTTAATTAATTTTATTAAAGTATTAATAAAAAATACTAACTTTGTGATTCATGATTTTTCCATATGTCTCCACCAGAGATTCTGCATAAAATGGTGTTTCTCCATAAAGCATTTCATACATACAGACTCCCAAAGACCACCAATCACATTCTGGTCCATATTTGCCTTTTCCATCTTCCATTGCTTGTAGAATTTCAGGAGAGATATAATCTGGGGTTCCAACAGCTACTGAGGACTGGACCTGAAGAAGTTCATATTTTTAGTAATCTACTGTAAAATTTTTAAAACAAAATGATAATTTTAAAGTTAAAAAATAAGTACACATACTTAGATATACAATAGACATTATTATTACATATTTTTGTAGTTACTACATTTAGTTTCCTGGTAGATATAAGGAGTCCTGGTGGCAGTGCAGAGTAAGTATTGGACCGCTAACTGTAAGGTCAATAGTTCAAAATCAGAAAGATGAGACTGCCTGCTCCTGTAAAGATTTACAATCTCAGAAACCCTATACAGAGTCACTATGAATCAAAACTGACTCTCTGGCAGTGAGGAATTTTGTTTGTTTGGGTAAATATATTAATTTTTATATAATCTTCATGTTAATAGTTTTCCAGATCTGTAGTCGTGGTCTAGCACTGTAGGAAAAGCAGTGGAGTGGTCAGTGGTTCAAATCTGCCCGCCATTCCTCAGAAACCCTATACAGGGTTGGTGTGAATAGGAACTGACTCAATGACACTTAACAACAACATAGAACTTAATCCTGCTGTCACTTAATTGCATACATTTAAGGAAACAATCTGATTTAAATAACCAGAACTATTATCAACAAATTAAATATTTGGTATACAACATTCAGATCAATGACATTTATCTGTCTGAATACTACATATTAACAAATACAACTGGGAAATTTTACCATTATTAGAAAAAACAATTCCTCAGATATAAGTCAGTATGTATGGTAAGCTTTGGAGTGGGGAAGGAGGACCTTAAAAACAATAGAAAAATAACCTAAGAAAAAACTGTCAACATGTGTCACAAACTACTTGTAAATAAAATAATTATAAAAAAGGGGGATTTCAGCAAAAACTGATGAAGGCAAATGAAGACACTGGGAGGCACGCAAGAGTTAAAAGCAATAGCAGTAAATGCTGTTATATACACAGCCCTGCAATAATGGTGATCTACAATAAGTTGATGCATGGATAGATATGTAGGCTGAATGGGTTTGGGAAGGAGATTTGGAGAATACCCAAAAATATATTTAGGTTTGACACAGAATTTATACATGAGTATTTATCTTTGCTACAAATATATCCATGAACATAGTGGACCATGCAGGGCAAAGCTATGAATACTTGTTACACTTAACCAAACACCTTGAAAGAATAAGTCAATGGACATGGAAGTTCAGGTCTTGATGGACATCAATGTCAATAGTCATAACATCACCCACAACGAAAATCTACACCCTACTCTGGCGAGTAGTGACTGGGGTCTTAAAAGCTTGTGAGCAGCCATCTAAGATGCAACTATTGGTCCCTTCCTATCAGGAGGAAAGAAGACTGAAGAAAATCAAAGACTCATGAAAACTATTAGTCCAAGGACTAATGGAGCATGTAAAAATCAGTGTTCATGATACTAGCAGAACTAGATGGTGCCTGGATATTATTACCAACTAGTCTGTAAGGGATCACAGTAGAAGGTTCTGAATAGAGTGGAAGAAAAATATGGAACAAAATTCAAAATCATAAAGATGGGGCTAACTGGCTGGATAAAAACTAGTGGAATCCACAAGACTATATGACCCTTCATCCCCATACAGATCTAAAACTGAACTCACCACATGGCTCCATTGTCAGCTAAATAACAGACATGTTTATAACGGGGACAATAACACTAAGAATGTGCACATACCTTAGAATACTCGTTTGAGACTAAAAGGGCAGTATTTACCCAAGGACAAAGTTTAGAAAGATTAGGAAAAAAGTAGCTATGGCAATAGGAAACACAGGAAGTGGGATAAGTGATGTTATAGTGTGGAGATCACAATCAATGAGATGAAACAAAATGTTTATGAATTGTTAAATGGAAAACTGATTTTTATCACAATACAAAGTTAAAAAAAATAATTATGAAAAAGGGAAAAGTGCATTCTTCAAAAAATTAAACTTAAAAAAAAAAAACACAAAAAAGTTAAGCACAAAAGTATTGCAGAATGCTGTAAGATAAGCACAGTACAGCAAAGTCAGTTTGAACCACAAGGTCAGTGGTTCAAACTCACCAGACACTCCTCAAGAACTCTATACCAGGTCACTATGAACCGAAAAGATTCGATGGCACTTAAGAACAACAACAACATATACAAATTAGAAATTAGACAGCTAAAAAAAAAACCCTAGATATATAGAAGTTACTCTGAAACAAAAGAAAATGAACTCTTTATATGTTTTAAAAGAACTATCAAAGAAATGAACAATCTGAAGGTATGCAGTCAAACAATAATTAATATACTGTATTTTTAGACTAAATTACAATTTAAAATAATTAGTAGGATAAAATTCCTGTTTGGCAATACTGAGATTAAGTAACTTAAAAACTCTTCTTTTTAGAAATGCTAGAACAATTATTCTTATAAATATATAAAGGAACTTTTAAAAAACCAGAAATTCTTGGGGACCAGTAATTAAGAAATGGTTGAGAACCATGTTAATAAGCAAGAAATGGTGGACTCCTAGTATGGAGCTGTAGGATCAGCACTGGACTGTGAATCATAAGGTTTGCAGTTCAAACCTATCATAAAGGGTCACCGTAAGTTAGAACCAACTCAACGGCACTTAACAACAACATGGGGTGGAGTGGGAAATTGTTGGCCATAGTTTTCCAAGTGCTTAGATTTTAACACATATATGGGGACAATTCAACTTAAACCTAGAGACTACCCCATACAACCATTACCCAAATGGGTATATTTTAAATAAAAGGATAGATTATAAAAAGCTACAATTTACAAAGAAACATAACGACATTTTGTCTATCTTGATGTGTGCTTGTGTGAAAAAAAAAAAAATCCTTCCACTGGACTACATAACTTTGAGTATTATAATCCCACAGTTTGGAACTTGAATTCATGCATCTTATGTGGTCCAGAAATTCTCAATCCAAAAACCTGACATAAATATCAATGTAGGTACAAATTATTCTGGAGGAGAAATAATTCAAACCTGGCCACACAGGATTTCCACACACAAAACTCCACTGAAGATGAGTTCACAATCTAATTACACATGCCAAATGAAAAAAAAAAAACCAAAACCAGTCCATTATGAATAAGACTCAGAAAATTCAATAAAATGTACCATTGTACTTTTAGTAATTACCAGATACATGCTATAAAGTACATGTTTAAAATGATTGTTACTGTTAATGGTTTCACACTTGTGGTAACTACCTGTACCATAGAAAAAAATACTGCCTGCTCCTATACCAGCCCCATGATCAACTGTAGATTACACCATTGTGCTGCACAGGGTTTATACTGCCTTATTTTTGGAAACAGAGTGCCAGGCCTTTCTTCTTAGTCTGTGTTAGTCTGGAAGCTCTATTGAAATCTGTTCAGCATTAGAGCAAAACAAAGTCTCTACTAACAGGCTGCACATGAGATACACTGGCCAGGAATCGAAATCTGGGTCACCCTGGAAGGTTAGAGAATTCTACCACTGAATCACCAGTGTTCCCTTAAAATGACAAAATTAAAAAATTCAAACACAAGAGAAACAAATGGAATATTTTAAACAATCGAAAAGTCTTAGAAATGAAAAACTAGCCAGTGTGTATGTGTGTGTGTGTGTGTGTGTGTGTGTGTGGTTGGGGGGGTTGGGGAATGCAGTAAGCAAGCAAAGAGCAGAGTAGACACAGCTGAAGAAACTACTAAACCTGAAGAAGAGGTGAAGGTGTTAATTAGCATCTCTAGTATATGTGGTGCTGTAGGATAAGCACTTGACCACAAGGTCATTTGAATCGCAAGGTTGGTGGTTCAAACTCACCAGTCACTCCTTGGAAACCCTATATAGGGTCGTTAGGAGTAGGTACTGACTCAATGGCACTTCATCACCACCACACCGTGAAAACAAAGAGGAATGAAAATATATTGATAACTATCGAAGACCACAACCTTCAGCATGGGTTGCACCTCAATGTAAAGAAAACAAAAATCCTCACAACTGGACCAATTAATAACACCATGATAAATGGAGAAAAGACTGAAATTGTCAAACACTTCACTTTGTTTGGATTTGCCATCAACACGCATGGAAGCATCTGTCAAGAAATCAAATAATGATCACATTCGGCAAATCTTCTGCACAAAAAGTCTTTAAAGTGTTCAAAAGCAAAATGTCAGTTTGAGGACTAAAGTGCACCTGATCTAAGCCATGGTATTTTCAATCACCCTCATATGCATGGGAAAGTTGGACAATGAATAAAGAAAATCATAGAAGAATTGATGTATTTGAATTATGTTGTTAAAGAAGAGTATTAAAGGTATTTCCAGAAGTACAAACAAATGTATGTTGGAAGAAGTACAATGAGAATGCTCCTTAGAAGCCAAGATGGCCAGATTTCATCTTTCATACTTTCATGCAGAGACTAGTCCCTGGCGAAGCATGTAATGCTTGGTAAGGGGGAAGGGAAGACAAAAAAAGGGAGACCCCCCCGCCCCAATGAGATGGATTGGCGCAGTGGCAGCAACAATGGGTTCAAGCATAGCAGCAATTGTGAGGATGGCAAAGGACCGGGTGGTGCTTTGTTCTGGTATATATAGGGGTCACTATGAGTTGGAATTGACTCGACAGCACTTAAAACAACAACCACTATATTACCACCATGGAGAGATAAGGAGATGGAAAATATAGAAGAAAATTTGAGAGACACGGAGAATGGACACAATTAACATATATGTAATATGAGAAGGAGAGAAACGAGTAAACAGAGAAAAGTAATACTCAAAGAAACAGAGTTTAAAGTTTTCAAAAATGATGTAAAACGTAGCTCCTTGATACATGAGGAGTATTAAGTCCTAAGAATAATAAATAAAAACAGATTCACTCTTGTAGGTTTGTAATTAAACTGTAAAGCACCAAAGGCAAATAAATCTTTAAAACAGTAAATAACAAAGATTACATACCAAGGAATGATGACATACTAATAGCTTAACACAACCAGAAGAAAAGGAAT